TACTTTGAGAATATTATAAAAATTTCCCATAATTTCTTCCAGTTTAGTTTTCTAGGTTTAAATATTTGTTTATGAATTAATTTTAGTCAAAGTTAAGAAGTAGGGAACCCAACTAATGTCCCTCTAATGATAACACAGCTTTCCAAATATTGAATCCACTTTCGTCTCTTATTTGAAATGCTACCTTTTAATTTTCCAAATACCTATGTGAATTTGGATCTTTTTCTGAATTTCTATTCTGTCTAATAATCTGTCTGCTCATGTCCTAGTAATCATACTGTTTCAAGAGTCTAGCTTTATAATATATTTTAATGTTGGGTATGGTGGGCTAGTTTCCTTAGGACTCCCGGCTATTCTTGCTTTTTTTTTTTTTTTTTTACCCTATGAACTTTAGAGTCAGTATATGTAGTTACTTACACACACACACGCACGCACGCACGCACGCACGCACACACGCACGCACTCCTAGTAGGTTCAGAAGCAATACTGCACAGTGGTTAAAAGCACAGAATCTGTAATCATGCTTCCTGAGTTCAGATTCTGATTTAGTACCTTACTCTAACTGCAACCTTGGGCAAGTTCAGTAACCTCTTTGTGCCTCAGTTTCTTCACTGAAAATGGACAGAGTAATACCGTCACCTACCATGTAAAGTCACTGTGAGAACTAAATGAGTAATACATATAACATTTAGAACAGTGCCTGACATAGAGTAAGTGCTCAATAGTTAGCTAGTTTTTTTGTTTTGAGATATTAACTCTACATTAATTTTTTTCCATATTAACATAAGGGAAACTGACATCTATATGATTTTGAATCTTCTTATCCAAGAACCTTGTAACCCTTTCCACTTAAGGATTTGTGTCCCTGATAAACATTTTAAGGTTTTCTTCATATGGATCTTGTTTGCCCTTTTTCCTAACATAATGCTTTTTGTATTAAGTCCTGTTCAATATTAAGATCATGACCCCTACATTTTTTGTTTGCATATGCAAGTTATGTCTTTGCCTGTCTTTTAATTTTGTTATTCTTCTTGAGTTTCTTTGTTTTAGGAATGACAATAGTTTTGTGATCCAATCTGGGATCTTTTAATAAGAAGGTTTAGCCTATTTATATTTATTAATATAACACATATTTAATCTTTCAGTCATCAAATTTTATGCTATGAAAATTTTATGCTTTTTTATTGCTGCTTTATCTTCTTAAAAAGTTTACTAAATAGTTTGTGCTTGCTTTGTTTCAGTTACACATATATTTCTGATTATATGGAAGGTTTACTTTTTTGTTTTAGTAGTTATTTCAGAGTAAAAGTCTAAATTCTTTTAATTGCCTTTAAGGCCCAATATTATGATACCCTTTTTATCTCTGACTGTATTTCCAACCCCTCCCCCTCTTAATCACTCTGCTTTAGCTTCTCTAGAGTCTTTCTGCTTCTTGTATGCACCAGCTACGTTCTTGCTTCAGGACTTTTGCAACAGCTTAACTTCTGCTTAGAATACTGTTTGTCCAGATAATCATCAGGCTCTCTCACTTCCTTCAAATCTTTGCTCAAATTTCACTTTCCTATTCCAGCAGCTCAATTTAAAATGGCAATCCCAACAATAGGTATTCCTGATATATTTATTTCCTATCTCTATTATGAGTAATGATGAACTTAATTAAGCTTTTTTCTCCTCCTCTACCATCCAGTTTAGTTTTACTATTTCTCTTAGTGTCTGTCTGTCTGTCTGTCTGTCTATCTATCTATCTATCTATCTATCTATCTATCATCTATCTATCTATTTACCTACTTACCTATCAATCATCTACCAAGCTACATACCTCCCCACTCCCACACCTCTTTTACTGGATTTATTGATTTTAAATGACACCTTTGACAGCCCGTTATAAAACATGAGGTTTATACCACTTTACATCATTTCTGTCCCTCTCTCTTCCATTTTTTGTTAGTTATAGCATTACTATATTGTCAAGGTTTTAAACATCGTATTCTGCCATGTAAAACCTAACCTTCACATTTGTTTTAGTCTTTAATTTTATAGATCAATGGACTCTATGCTTACTACAATACTTTAGCTTTTATTTCTCCGTTACTTTCTTGGTTGGGTGAACTTCATCCTGTAGAAGTGGGGCTCATGAGAGCTAAATTCCCTGAAACTTGGCATGTTAAAAACTGTATCTGCCTTTATAATGAATGATTATTTGGATTGATATAAAATTCTTAAATTAATCTTTCTTTGAGCATTTCATAAGTAAAGTGCTAGTGTTGAATGCT